ATTCGCACGTCTACCCCCATCCGCATTATGCTACTCATATTAGTGCTCAGCAAACAGATACATGATTTCGCCTCAATTGATTCGGAGCCTATTGTCTACACCGTTTTCTTCTCCTTCGTGTATGACGTCGCTAGGCCAAAGCGATGCAACACAACTGGCACGCTACTCGTTTTGAGCTTCGAGGCCGTCATCTTTTTGTAACTTGGCCAGGAAATAGTCGTCGTCAATGTTAATAAGCCCTGTCATACGAACCCATGTCAAAACATGCGCGTCGAAATTGGGTGAAGATGCGTCCATCATTTGCAATAACTGCATAAATTAGCTTGACGTACAGATGGATGATGTTTGATGGGCGAATTCGCTCGAACCTGTAAGTAACTTCATAGCCGCCGTACTTTGAACCCCAACTGTGTTGAGAAGGCCAGCAATGAAGACTAGATCGAGACGGTAGTAGCCACGTTCTATGCGATCTTCAAAGACCTGAGCTGTGTCAATTCGGCAGCCTTTCATCAGAGTGCCAACGCTCCAAGGATCAAGCTTGTATGTTCTTAAGGTCAGCCTCACCTTAGTATACAGTTAAAACTGTATACTTATTAGTAGAATTCGAACGTCGCCGTTCATCGTGTTGTTTCGAGTTCTTGGGCAATAAATGCACTGGGAGAACTTATAGCCATTTCCGAACCCTACCTGCCTCGGTTCGGTGGTTGCACACCATTTTTGGTCTAATGCAGTGAGTCAACAATGTCTAAAAATAAAATTCGAAGGTCAAACAAACAGAAATGGTGGGCACTCAGTTGAATATCGAAAAATGGTAACAGGCGAGCGAATAATGGAAAACGTGAGGTCGCAAAGGGAATCGCAATAGTAATTTGGCGTTTCAAACTCAGTTATGTTCCATGCAGTTCCAGATACGCGGTCGTCATTTGGCGCTGCACACGATGGGACGGGAGAGGGTAAACAGGTATTATTTTGTAACGCTCCAAGTTCTGCTAAATAACTCCCAATAAGGAAGATTGTAAGCAGTACGACGTAAATAAATTTCAAAGTACATCCAAAAGTGGCAAACTTTAGGCACTTTATCTAACAAGCAAGTGAGCGAGGAGCAGCAATTTCTTAGCTTTTGGACATTCTGGTGTGTTGGCTTTTTCGGTGTGTAACCATGGCACAACAACTTCTGTTATTCATTGCTCATTCCTTCTCCGAGAGTTGTATTATTG